ATGCCACCTAGCTGCCCCATTCTGATTTTCTAATGTCAGGTCTGCATGGAAGTTAATAGTATGCTCTCTACTTAATAGTGTAGTGGATACTTTAGAGACCCACAAAAGAAAAACAGTCCCCATCTCAAAAGAGACTAAATCTCTCTGGTTGTGACTGACGAGAATTTTTTTTTTCTAGCTGTATGTCCAGACTGTTTTCCTGAGCACTAGAAGTATGCTAAACTCTATGGCCAAACCAAAAAAATAAACATCAGCCATGTCCAGTAGGGTTGCTGCTCCATAAATAAATGATGAAGGAGATATGCAAGTATCCTGCTGACTAGACTGATCATTTTTTGTCTTTACTCTCATCAGGCATTAAAGGAAATAAATGAAGTTGGGGACCTGTTGCAGCTGAAGTATTCCCGTCACCGGTTGGTACCTCTGTTGGACCGGCCCTTTGATGAGACTACATATGAAGAGACAGAAGATTGAGCCCTCTTGGTGGCCTTTAAAGGACACCCTCCCTTACACAGGACAATATGTGGCCTTTCTGAGCCCAGTCTAGGAACCACACTTCTGTGGCTGCTTCACGTAAAAGACATTTTCTCACAATACTGAAGGTGACCACATCCAATCCAAATGGCATTTTGTAAATAGTGAAAGTTGTTTCACATTCTTTCTCTGCTGCATCTCTCCTTCAAAGAAAGGTGTCTTATTCTTTGCCTTCCTACCCCCCCCACCCCCCCCCCACACACACACCCAGAGTTTTGGAAGAAAAAAGTTTTGTTTTTTAGCCCTTGTCCTGGTGAAATCACGATATCCTAGCCTGCCTTTGGCTAACCCCTAAACCACTCCCTCCCCTCCCACTCTGGTCCCAGGTAACCCTTCTCTGCACAACTGTTGTTGCTGTTGGTTACAGAGTGGTACCGGCAAAGAGAATTCACTGCACTCCTCTTCCTTAGGAAGCAAGTGCCTTCCACTTACCTCCCATCTAGTCCTTGAAAGTTGTTAATGTTTAAACCCTAATTTAACCAGACAGATAATCAACCAAAGCTCTCTTTATTTCCTTTTGTCTTTAAACACTTGAAACTTAGCTTTAATTTTTTTTTTAAGGTAACAAATGTTGCTGACAAGATCATTATGTAATTCCCCCTGACCATGGGCCTCCAAGATTTGTCCAATATCCATTTTCCTCCTGGCCACCAGATGTTTCTTACTTTGCCATCAAGTGTTTCCTTATGATATTCACAAACCTAGAGTATGTCCAAGCAGGACAGGATTTTCCCTCATTAAGCATGTTTAATATTTATGAGATAGCCATATCCCATTCCTATTTAATCTCCTTTTGCCAGTGAGACCCTTATTAGTGAAGTCAAGTTTCCTGTTTTGGTATTTCATGTACAAAGCTGCTCTACACGGTCAGGTGGTTGGTTGGCCGTGAGACAGGGTTTTGTAAAAGGATCGATACTGATAGTATCACAGAGAAGAATACTGTTAATGTAATTGGCCACGGTTCATGAATCTCTTTCTTGCTGCTTCCTATATCTCAGAATTGTGGCTGTCCACAGGAAAAGCTGTTTCCAGTCAGGACTTAGAATGATTGGGTAAAATAGGGATAAGTTCTCTGCCTGGAAACCACTCAGTATATTTCTATGAAAGGATTAACATTGCTATAGTAGCTCTTTTTAAAAGCCCACTTCCTTCTTCTGGTTATATCCTGATCACTGTTTTCCTTTGTTGTTTCCCATCAAAACACCTACTATATGAAAGAGATATATGGTTACCTTGGTTATTTCAACGTGCTTCTGATACTGAGAAACTTTCCTGTTTCCTTATTAGCTAGCCTTTGTCCTTTTTTCTGAGAGGATCGAATGCATCGTTCTCTTTCTCCTGAATAGGGCTCCTCGGACCCTCTGCCAAGGGGGCCTGCTTATATATAATCCATGTGCATCCCACAGCCAGAAAGCTAATCTGGACACCACCACTCCAAAGCTATCCTAAGGGGAAAGTGTTCCTGGCTTTATTACACCCAAAGTTAGCTTGTCTTTCCAAAAGATAAGGGACCATCAAGCATCTCAGGGGAAGGTTGGGAAAGAAATGGAAAAGAGTACTTTGTGTATGGATTTTTTCATGGGGGTGTGTGTGTGTGTGTGTGTGTGTGTGTGTGTGTGTGTGTGTGTGTGTGTGTG